GGAACATTCTTCTAAGTGACCACCACACCAATTCACTATGAACCTTTTGCTATAGTAAATATTTCAAGGGTTCTTCCATGCTGAATAGGGCGAGAGGCTGCGCTAAAGTTTTATGCTTATGCTGTGTTATTTGATTGCATTTCAATGGGTTTAAAGAACTTTGTTGGAAATAAGGTAGACCTCCACATATACCAAACTCTCAACCATTGATGAAAAAAAGCCAGCTCCCCTTGTTCTAGGCCTAATATCTTTCAGGGAAAATGCAGCAAGTTCTGTTGAGCATTAGTATCAGGAAATGTGCAAGATATTGTTGCAAATGGAATCTGAACATAAAAACCTAGAATGCCAAGTGACAGCATTGCTAACCACCAAACTAACGTGACATCCTTTTGCTAGTCATATCTGGGGGACGGGGGGGACGGGACGACAGCATCTCAATGTTTGAGATATTAACCTGGAATATTTTTCAGGTATGCAGGATAAGGATGGTGGCACGTACTGTGGCAAAAAATGGGTGTGAGTAGGTTTTACAAAGGAATGTGGTCTACAGTGCACAGAAAAAAGAGGACTTGCAGTTGTGGCTTAGTGGATAGCAGTTTAGCCTTGGAGGTCTTCTCCAACTCTGGACACTCTGGTACTCATATGTACTAGGTATACTCCTTCCTCCTTTTTTTTTTTTTTTTTTTTTTTTTTTTTTTCCCCCCTTCCATTCTCCTAAGACATGCTGGTAGGTTAATTGACTACTGTGTAAAACTGGTCTTGGTATGCTAGTCTATGGAGTGTGCCTAGCATGGCTGTCTCACCATTTGCCCTTTGAGTCCCCAAAGAGAAAATTGCTATAAAGATATAAAAACTTTAAAAATTAATCACATTAAAGATGTCCAGCAGACATGGGAAGTTGTGCAGGGCATTTGAGAATTAACACAAGTAGAAAACCCAGTTCCATGTTTCAGACGTTAAAACAAAAGCAGTCCAATGTATCCACTATTGAGGTGCCTTGACGACTCATTCAAAATAAGTAGTTTGCTTTTAATCCAACATTTAATGAGCAGAAAATCCGCATGTGAACAATAGTGGTCTGCAAAAGTCTAAATGGGTATTTAAACATGGTATCTCCCATTACTTTTACTTTAGGGTGGGTTAACTTTACAGCAATATAGAGTTTTGGGGGTTTAATTTGTTAAACTGTCTAAACAGTCCCTATGAAAAGGAGAAGAAAAAAACATTTTGTAGATCTCTGCTAATCCTGCCTTTGGCAGCCAGCTATCTGTACAACTGCCTTCTCTCCGTTTTTCAGCACTGCTAGCCAGCATGGATTAGTTGCTTAACACCTGCAAACCCACTGAGCAAAAAAGGACATGTGGGGCTGTTTAGAGAGAAAATGGCATTTTGGAATGCATGCAGCAGATCTCGTATTAGTCATCATCCTGTAGAGTACAAATATGTTTATTTTGTTCCCACTTTGGATGAAATCCTTTTGTGTCAATGTATTTTTAATATAAGATCCATCTTCATGCAGCCCCCTCTTCTCTAGTGCTTTGTTTCTCTGAATTGGCAAGTGTTGTAATGAAGCTGTGCTGGAAGGAAGGACATGGCGCGATCACAGAATTTTTTTAGATCTTAAACAAACACAAGATGGTTCTCAGGAGTTTGTTGATTAAATTACAATGATTACTCTGTGCTCAGCAGTTGGCACCAACAAAGTCAGAAATTACAGCAGATTTGATTTCAGGGGACGCAGTGATAATCTTGTTAGACAGAAATTAAGAATGCTTCAAAGAATTACTTGGAAATCCTTTTTAAAAGTGCAAGGAGATCCGAAAACTACCTGTTTTTCTTGGCCCAGCCAGAAGAACATTTTAGTAAATTTTTTTTTCGACAGTTCCTTTTTAAAGGGCTTGAGACAAGCAAACAAGATAAACCCTCTTTGTGTATAGCTGGTGGTTCTTGCAGCCATTCCTCTTCTGGATGTTTTAGCAGAGGGCTCCATTTTAATAAAATTTTATACTTGCCTATTTTTGCCTCCTTAAAGCGGAGCTCCAGTCCCCCCTAATACATTTTTAGTAAAAGCAGATCCACAATGACCTTTCAAATAGCATTAACAATTGGAATAATTCAATAGTAAAAGCATTGTAATTACTTAGTAATTATTAAAAATGTACCATGATCTTGGAAGCACAGGTGCCATGATGGCTGTGGGCATCTGAAGCCCGCAGGTATTTATTTCTAGGAATCGGTGCTGCTAGCTATCCCAGCATGCACCACTCATTCTCACGTCTGCGCAGTACAGAAAGTTAGCCCATCAAGAGTCACCACATCCAATTAAAAGTCGATTACCACACAAAATATAGTTCCCAAAGTATACACATTAAATAGACGCGATGTACACACTCTGCAATTCCAGCATAGAGCACAGCGTAGGATGCAGCAGGATACTGCATCCACGTCTTCCTGTAATCTGAACTCCAGTAAAATGGCACAAAACACCTCCCATTTGATCCATTTTCAGTTTCCAAGTCCCACGATTACAGGAAACCAAAGGACTCCTGGGATACAGGAAACGACATCCCAGGAGACCTTGCAAATTGCCTTACGACATCATCGCCTAGGCGGCCGGGACCGGAACTGCAGTCTTGCAGTGGATTTAAAGGTATGTATATTAAAAAAAAAAATTATATATATATATATATATGTGTGTATATATATGTATATATATACACACACCTTGTTTATTTCACAGGGACAACATGATCAGGTAAAGTGTGAAATTGGGTGGAACTCCGCTTCAATACAGTCCCTGTGCCGGTTCAGAAAATCAGCTTTGGTGTGGAAATGCACCCTAATAAAAAAAAAAAAAAAAAATTATACCCATCTACCCAACATAACACACTGCAGAAACAGATCAAATGCTAACTGCATAGATATGAACCTAGCCTTAGGCTAGCCATACACTATTACATTTTTTTTGTTCTCCATAGGCTGAAGAGAAATCTAACAGATTGCTCTATCCACACTAGACCGAGGATGTAAGAATCTACAATGCTGGTTGTTCTATTCAGGCAGTCCCAGCATGCATAATCTCATGTTTAAAATCCCTATTGTGTCCAAATCAAATACGTTTTACTGGACCAGCATGTTCCTTGATAGTACATGAGAACTGCAGCACCAACTGACTGGCCTTGTGCTGCTTCTCCCTGTCCAGACATAGCTCTGCTGTGCAGGGACTGCAAGAGGCTGCTATTAAAGCGGTAGTAAAGCCCAGACAAAAAAAATTGGTGCCCCTGGGCTGTTAGTCATAATGTGCTTGAATGCACCGCATACTAGCACATTTTGAAAGACTTGCCTTAAAACAAAAGTCTCAATCGGCCTGCTGTTGGCGCTTCCTTCTTCACCTGGTGTTTCTTCCGGTTTCATGTGCTCCGGCCGTTTTGCTGTGCCGTGTTGATGTCACTCCCTTGCATGTGTATGGGAGTCATGGTCATGACACAACACTCAAAGCGGACAGTATACGCTAGTATGCCGTCCATTCAGAGCACAGTGTGCATGCGCTGGTGACATCATGAGCTGCTTCAAATGTGAATATCTCCTAAACGGTGCACATATAGGAGATATTCACTGTATCTACAGGTAAGCTTTATCATAGACTTACCTGCATGTTCAAGTCATAAAGCAGACTTTACTACCACTTTAACAGCAATGTGTATGTGTGTAATAAAAATATCCTGATATTTCTCGCATACATGTAGTAGTTTGCTTTTTTGCTAGGAAAATTACTTGGAACCCCCAAACAATATATATTTTCTGAACGCAAAGTCCCTGGAGAATAAAATGGTGGGTGTTGCAATTTTTTGCCTTATGATAGTTGCAGATCGATTTTTTTTTTTTTTTTTTTTTTTTTTTTTTTTTTTTTTTTTTCTGTTTAAAAAAGCTAGTGCATAGAGCCTAAGGCTGGCCATACATTATACAATTTTCTTGAGATTTTTGGTTTAGATTTACCAAAGACCATATAATTGGATACGATTGAAAGTGTTTTTTGGTTTGACCTCCTCCTATTAGGCAGGCTCTCGCACTACATGGTTGAAGGTAAATCTAAAGGAAATTGGACAGAAAATTGTAGTGTATGGTAAGCCTAAGAGCTTGTTCACACCAGCAGCATTGGGCTGCAGCACATTCCAACGTACTAGAATGTGTTGCAGTGCACTACAGCACAAGTTTAATAGCATGCGGTGAAAACAAAATAAATTTAGAAACACGTTGCAGTGCTTTTTGAAAATGTGGTTCAGCATTCGTTTGTCAAATTTAAAACCTTTTCTAATCCCTTCCCACTCAATCCAAAAGTATGGCTTTACATATACTTTAAAAACTGTATGCCAGCACAAGTGAATTACATGTGCTCTATGGTGTGAGTGAGCCTTAATGGATGTATTAGTATTTACATGGGGAGCCCTTTAATACCGGTACTTTGCAAAGCCCAGCATTTTGTAGACTCTTTCCTCCAACCAATGGATGTAACTGATCAAATCTTATATTTAATAGAACCAAAACTGGAAAGCAAATGGAAAAAAATTCTCAGATGTTAAAAATCCATCAACAGTCAGTCTATTATGAAGCTATTTTATGTTCTGGTCGTCTCCAGATGAGTGGAGATTTATAGCAGACATTTAATTGTTGCAAATTAGGCGTAGGAAGGCAGCGAAGTGATTAAACATTGCAAAAGACACTTGTTTTTTCTGTTACCTGTAACATTGTGCTCTATGCCTCCACTTGTGCTGTGCCAGGAAACTGGTTTATATGGAACACTGCTGACTGTGCTGGTTGGCACTGTCACTTTACTGGCTATTGTTGTATAGTTGACAGATGGTAAATACATTGATAGTGGGTGTTAAGCTAATCTCCTTTTGACTGCCTGTGGTGTCTTAGATAATAGTGTAAATGAGGAATTGTCCTGACTCCAGTTGGTGTTTTTTCTTTTTCAGACCACAAAGGCATTTCTTCCTAAAATGATGGACATGAACCATGGACACATTGTTACTGTGGCCAGTTCGCTGGGGTTATTTAGTACCGCAGGTGTAGAGGTAAGTTGTTGTTGTTATTATTATTATTATTATTATAGTGCCAACAGTTTGCTCAATGCATCACAAATTAAAAGGAGACCGTACAGTTACATTACAATTCAAGACAAGAGAATTAGGTGGGCCCTGCTCATGAGTCAGTGTTAATGGGGGAATCCTTCCCACAGTGCTATTGTGTTCTGCTGGTGGGAAGCCTTCCCAGACAGCAGGACACAATGATTACTGCTAGTGGCTATAGCAGTCAGCCGTAATCGCATGCTAAAAAAAAAAAAAACAATCTAACAGGCTGGTTGTACCCAGGTCAATCAATGGATCAACTTTGGTACAACCAGTCTGCCCACAGATGGATCAAAGCTCAGCCGGTCCTTGCTGAACTGGCCAAGATTTGATCCAGCTATGGCTGGCTTAAGTGATACTAAAGGTAATAATGGTCTGGGAATGAGCTGACAGAGAGCCACCAGACTGATCCAAAAAACAAAATGAATGGATTTCCCCATCAACACATACAAGGTGGATGGAGGAGTCCTCCCAGCTTTCCCAATGTATTCTGACATTGGGACTTCTCCGCTGTCCAGAATACACTGATCAGTGGCTGAAACACATTGGCTGCAAGTTCCAAGGGCAAGAGTTTGCCAACAGTCACATTTGACCAGGAATGGACATAAATGGATCAAAAATTTAGCCAGACCCTGCTGAACCGATCAAATTTCAATCCATCTATGGGCAGCTTAAAAGTTTGATTTTCAGATGAGACGGAAAAAGGCTTCAATGAAGAGATATTACAGGGATTGTCTAAAGACATAGGAGTAGGATAGATTTGGGGGGGGGGGGGGGTAGGTTCTGGGAAACCACCACTAACAGACACCTTGTATTGTAACATGGCCAGTCTGATACTTCAGTAATTGATGTTTAAACTTTCAGTTTAAGGGCTCATTCACAAGAGTGCACTGATCAGTAAACCCAACAGTGTGCTTACCCAACCAGGAAGCACAGGTGGTCTGTGCAGCCAGCCTGTTAAAATCAATGTCAGATTGATAACTGCACCAATCTTCATGCAGGGCTCTGAACAAGTATCAAGCTTCAGGCACGGCGTTCTTATTAAAGTGTGTAGAGCCAAAAATGCCTGACTACGTTCGAGGGAGGGGGAAAACTACCTTTCAAACATGGGGCCACTGAGCATGCAAGTGTTACCAGGGACAATTCAAAACCATAGGATTCCGCATAGTCAGGTGTAGGGAATTGAGCAAAAAGATACTAAGGTGTGATTGGGGGGCTAATGGTTTTCAAATGTGTATGGAATCCCTCTTATAGAATTGATAGTAGTTTTAAATTTTATGGTTACCGAAACATCCTAGCCATTACACACACACACCTACACATCTATGTGACCATCCACGTTTCTGATCTTACCTTGTCATTTGAGGCAAGCAGTAGGCTGTGCCAGAAATTCTTTTTGCCCAAGGGTGTCCGCAGAACTGTGAAGTACCCCATATACAGTGGAGTGTTTTTTTTTGCTTTTGTTTGTTTGGTTTTTTTTTGTTTGTTTTTGTTTGATTCTTTTTATATTGTTTGTTTTTGTTTGATTCTTTTATAATCTTGTCTCTTATTGCCACGTAAGGATTATCTTTGTCTTTATCTCCTTAACATGAATTTATATATGTATATGCCAATGCATGAATTTTTATGTATATCTCACTCTCTCTACAACACAGGATTACTGCGCTAGCAAGTTCGGCGCTGTGGGTTTCCACGAGTCTCTCAGCCATGAACTGAAAGCTGCAGACAAAGATGGGATTAAAACTACTTTAGTTTGTCCCTATCTGGTGGACACGGGCATGTTTCGGGGTTGCAGAATCAGGTTAGTTCATATAGAAGCCTTTCAGTAATATGTCCTTGATGTAGTTGTGTTGTGTGTCTATCTGTCCTAGGAAATGATTTTGAAACGTAAAGCAGACTAAGCCGTGTGTCCTTCATTGCAGACATATGAATACGTCTAGATTACATGTGTCTCTCTGACAATATGTTCTGTAGAAAATTTTCTCATTTTAGCACAATTGAGAGCTGCCAACAAAGAACTTTAGTAACCAGAGGTACCCACACATAGGGTGAAAGGATGATTATTCTAGTTCATATGACAAATAACCCATTTATGTGGTGGAAATCTTTAAAGCTGAACTCCAGGATAACCGCTAAATACACAAATGAGGGTGGCTTTACTTGCCAAAGGATATCTATTTGTCTGTCCCGTCCTGAGATATAAAGAGATTCCCCACAGCCCTGTTTTGCAGGAAAGGGGACCTGATCTTCCTTTCCTTTTTTTTTTTTTTTTTTTTTTTTTTTCCTACTGCAGTTGAATTTTTCACTTGCAGGTTTTCTCCCCAACCTGTGGCTTCACAGTGAAAGGAGGAGCAGTCTCTAGTGAGGTCATCTCTCTCACTCTGCTCTCTCCTTCCAGCATGCTGCTTGAACTGCCTCATACCAGACTAGCTCTACCCCTCTGATCGCTTCTATACAGTAGACTGCAAGAAGCTGATACAAAGTAAAAAAAAAAAAATTAGGTGGCCTACTTTCCTTGCATTTAATGATTACAGGGCAGCATTAATCTCTGCCTGGAGTTCAATTTTAACCCCTTCCCACCCCCTCCTGGCAACCTTTTTTAACTTCGTCTTCTCCCCAGGAGCCGGGTCAAACTTTCCTATCACTTGATCACTGTGATTGGCTCACATATTGGCAGGGTGGGTTTGATTTAAATCACTAGTCATTAAGGCTTGATTTAAATCATAGTTTTCTACATAGACTAATTCTTGCTGGTATAACTTTAATATGCAAGTAGATGAAGATTTTTAGAATCACAACTTTTCATATTAGTTTTTTTTTATCTCCAGTTTAATAGGTTAATCATTCATATTTGGACAACTTTTCTGTTGTACTTAGGAAGGAGAAAAATAATCATTACCTTAATAATAACAATTTAAATAGATTTATTCAAGTGAAACAATAACATTCCAGCATATGTTATTTGCTTAAACAAACATCCATGTTTGTTAACTAATTTGGCTAAACAAAATATATATATTTTTTAAGAAACTTAGACTGTCAGCCCCTTCCTCCTCACGCTTAGTTTCACTTTCTTCTTGTGCAGATCTATTCCACTCCAAACAATCAGAAAAATATTGTTTCTATTCTATTCACTGAACTTCTTGAAATTTAGCACTGAAGGGGGTGATTCTGTATTCATAGGTTTGTAGAAGTTAGGATTAAGGTCTTTTTCTTAACTCTGTTCATGTTATAACATTTTTGCTGTGAAGAAGAGGCATGTGATCTCCGCTGAGTCAAATTCAGTTTTGAGAACTGCAAAAGTAAACCAAGCATCTGTGATAATATCTTGTAGGCAGAGAAACTGACCAATAATCTTACAAAAACCTTTGGAAGAGCATGACATTGTGAATGGATTCATGGAATTTATTTACCAAACAAATTAAACATATACAGCCTTATTCTACATAATTAAAAAACAAATCTTTATTTCATGATGGAATAACCTTTGGATGGTAATATATTTTCCTCAAAGCATTTTATTTAAAAAAAAATCCGATTTTAAATAAAAAAAAATGTTTTTTGTTTTTTTTTAAGTTCATTGATTTTTATCCACCCTGCATAGTGGTCACATGATCTGGAGCCCATCCTGTCAGCTTCTGATCACAAACTGGGACCAGGAGCTGTCTGGGACAGCTGTCGGTGTGCTGGGAGCATGCAGCGAGCCTGTTGTCCACATAGAAACCTCAGTTGCCATGGACGCATAAATGCGCTAAAGTGTTCACTTTTTACAGAAAAGAAAAAATGTAAAGATGCAATAAAACCAGACACACACCCCCAGTCCCCGTTGCACTTACCTCCTAGGGTTGCTGAGCTGTCCACACCCCCTATAGCCTGTCCAGCTGTTTAAGGATTTGAAATGCCCACTTTTCTCCCTCTTCTTCCTGCAATATTTCCAGGGTTGATCATATTGATTCTGACTGGTCCGTGCAGTAACAGTGAATCAATCTGGTCTGTCCCGGAAGCACTGCATGGAGAAGAGTGAGGATTTCAGTCCCCAGACTACTGAGTGATGATTTTAGGATGATGGTATTGTTGCTGCTACCATGACAGTGGTAATGTGTATTTCTAGAATATAGTGCTTTCATTTTCAGTAAATTCCACCTTCATTTCAAGTTGCAATTAAAGTGATTGATTGTAAAGGCTTATGTTTAAAAAAAAAAAAACAAAAATGGTATACTTGCCTGCTCTGTGCAATGGTTTTGCACAGGGCAGCCCCAAATATCCTCTTCTGGGGTCGACTGCCGGTTCTCTTGGCTCCGCATCTTTTTCGAGTGTTCCATAGCAAGCTGCTTGCTGTGGAGGCACTTGTGTGGGCCTGATCTTGAGCTGGCCTGTGTGCGTTCATAGACACACCCAGCTCGGCTCCACTCCCTCCCCCATGTTTTGACTGACAGCAGCAAGAGCCAATGGCTCCCTCAGCTGCTGAGTCTCTGGTGAGCAGGAAGGAGAGCTGGTGCAGATGGGCACGGTGCTGGATCAGGATCAGGCTCAGATAAGTGTTTGAGGAGCTGAGGGAGAAGCCTTTGAAAGGTGTGTGGTTTTTTTTTTTTTTTGTCTTTTAATGCAGGGCATGCATTATTTATTTATTTATTACACTTGTATAGCTCCATCAATTTACGCAGCACTTTACATATATATTGTACATTCACATCAGTCCCTAACCCTCAAGGGGCGTACAATCTAAAGTCCCTAACTTGCATACACATACTAGGGCCAATTTAGACAGGATCCAATTAACCTCCCAGCATGTCTTTGTAGTGTGGGAAGAAACCGGAGTACGCAGAAAATCGCAGGCACAGGGAGAACATGCAATCTCCAGGCAGGTGGTGCTCTGGTTGGGATTAAATTAAAACAAAAAAAGTTATCTTTACAACCACATTAAGGGCTAAGTGTTTGGTGTTGGTAAAGGTTCACATTTAAATGCCATGGATTACCTCTACTTCTCAAAATGCTTGTTGACTGGTTGTCATGCTGATTGAGCTTTCTGAATGACTGACCGAACACTGCTTTCTCTACTGTAACCAGCATCGGCCAACCAAGCATTTTCAGGAGGTCAGCAATGGCAGACAGCATCAGTCTCCCAGTATGCAATGACTGAGCTGCTTTACATGTATACGTGCTGGGCATTGACTTGTTGGCAAGAAAATTTCACCATGGGTGCAAGCCATTTTGATCTGGGCTGCCAGCTTCTGTATCTCAAATGTAAAGGAGTAAAATGTGGCACACCCTATAGTTGTCTTATCACCACATGCCTACCTAGTCTGTACACTTTTGATGCCTCTTCACTACAGTTCACTTCTAACTCACACCCAGGTCCTCCAGAAATCGTACTATAATTCTGGGAGTGCGGGGGGTTGGTTGGAAGAGTGCCTACATTTTTAAGGATAACCGCCTTTGTCCACATTAAAGCTGCATTCACACCTGAGCAAAGCTATTTTCAGGCATTTTTATTGTTTGTATTTTACGTGTGTGTGTGTGTGTGTGTGTATAAGTGGCTGAGGAGTGTATTTCAAGCACTTTTTGTGTGTATTTAAGGCAGAACTTCAGTCAGCCTACCATGCGGCTCTACCCTTTTTTTTTTTTTTTTTTTTTTTTTTTTTTTTTTTTTTTTTTGTCAAACTCTGCTTTATCTTCAGGTAATGCGTAAAGACATCTCCCTGCTGCCATTTACCTCTAAACTCCTAGAACGCTTGGTCTACAATCATCTGAGCTCCCACCTCACCGACAACAACCTTCTCGACCCTTTACAGTCTGACTTTCACCCTGTACACTCCACTGAAACTGCCCTACTAAAACTCTCTAATGACCTACTAACTGCTAAAACCAACGGCCACTATTCAATACTCCTACTACTCGACCTCTCCACGGCTTTTGACATGGTTGACCATCCCCTCCTCCTCAAAAAAATGACACTCTCTTGGCCTCAGACTCTGCTCTCTCCTAGTTCTCCTCCTATCTATCGCAGTGCTCGTTCAGTGTTGCCTATAACGCAGCCACCTCCTCTTCACTCCTTCTCTCTGTAGGGGTTCCGCAAGGTTCTGTCCTTGGACCCCTTCTCTTCTCCATCTACACCTCCTCCCTTGATCACTTGATAAACTCCCATGGCTTCAGTTACCATCTCTATGCTGATGACACGCAAATCTATCTGTCTACCCCTCACCTCAGCCATTCAGTCTCCACCCGCATCGCTAGCGTACTGTGTGACATATCGGCTTGGATTTCACTTTACTTCCTCAAACTCAACCCTTCCAAAACTGAGCTCCTAGTATTCCCCCCAGCCCGTGCCCCTCTCACTGACTTCACCTTAAATATCGATAACACAATCATTAGTCCATCCCCTCACGCCAGGGTACTAGGTGTAATCCTAGACTCCCATCTGTCCTTCCAGATCCAATCGCTGACAAAATCATGTAGACTTCACCTCCGCAACATCTCCAAGATACGACTGTTCCTAACCTTGGAAACCCCTAAGCAACTTATTCACTCCCTTGTCATAGCACGCCTCGACTATTGTAACTCCCTCCTCATTGGCCTACCTCATCGCAGGCTATCCCCTCTTCAGTCTATCATGAACGCTGCTGCCAGACTCATCCACCTTACTAACCGTTCTGTATCTGCTACCCCTCTCTGCCAATCCCTCCACTGGCTCCCAGTTGCCCAACGGATAAAATTCAAAACACTAACTATGGCATACAAAGCCATCCACAACACTGCCCCAATTTACATATCCGATCTTATTTCTAAATATCACACAAACCGTACTCTCTGCTCCTCGCAAGACCTCCCACTCTCTAGCTCTCTTATCTCCTCCTCTCATGCTCGTCTCCAAGACTTCTCCAGGGCGTCACCCATCCTCTGGAACTCCCTACCCCAATCTGTCAGACTATCACCTACTCTACTTACCTTTTAGGCGATCATTGAAAACCTATCTCTTCAGGGAAGCCTATTCCGCCCTCTGCTAATACTGGAATCCTCTACGCTTCCAACCACTCCATCCCCCACAATTTTTTACCTATTGTACCACTCGCCCCTCCCTCCTAGATTGTAAGCTCCGAGGAGCAGGGCTCTCAATTCCCTCTTGTATTGTTACTGTATTGTCTCCCACTATAATGTAAAACGCTGAGCAAACCGTTGGCGCTATATAAATCATAATATGTGCTTCGGTGTGTTGACATTTTGGTGGCCAAACTCCCTTGCCAATTACTAATCTACTGCCAAGATACTGTTTGGCATTTGTGTATGAGTGAAGGGTTTTCCACACAGATGCTGGTAATGAGACTGTAATTGCCACAGTTCACAAAAGTGCTGATTCTTGCAAAGTCTTGCTCTTTCCTTGCATCACCTCTGCCCAAAAATGGTGAAGCCACAGCCTGTGTTATAATAATTCAGCGGCTTTCAGTGCCTATGCTGCTTCCATGAGTGAAGCCCCAGAAGATCTTCAGCTTTGTTGCTCTGGAACTAATATGCAACCAATTCTAGGCAAAGCTCCCCTTATCTACACCGCATGTATCAAAATTTCAATACTTCCTTCTATCTTGTGCACGTGTTTGGTTGTTATAGATTTTACTGTACCTGAAAACTAAGCAGCAGCTCATATTTCCCAAGCATCTGTCACTTTAATGTATGTTATGTTAGTTAGCTACAAATGTACAGTTTATTTCTAAATTGGTTAGCAGGGGATGTTATCTATATAATATTTTCCAATTTATCTTTTGCTGAGCAAAACCAGACAATGCCTAATGGGCAGCCAACCAGCTTTCATCCAGGTGCACCTCATTATTCTGTGCTGTTATGAAGGATTGAAACAGACCTGGAGATGGAATGTGTAAATAAAACTCACTGAAACATTTATCTTTTCAGGAAAGAAATCGAGCCTTTTCTCCCGCCCTTGAAACCAGATTACTGTGTGAAGCAGGCCATGAGAGCCATCCTTACAGACCAGCCGATGATCTGCACGCCTCGTCTCATGTACATTGTGACCTGCATGAAAAGGTAATGGGGCTATCCTCACCCAGTGCATTGTGCTTTCTGGAAACGTATTGACAGCTTACCCAGCATGCTGCTGGCCTCAAAGCCCTGTTAGGAATAATCATAGTGACGGGAAAAATTAAAGGCAAAAGGGATGGAAAATTTTCTCTTGTTTGAGTTAAACGATTGTGGATTTGTCTCGGTTAAACATTAATCAACAAACCTATTTAAAAAAAGACTTTTTTTTTTTTTTGTGAAATTCTTCTCTTATATGGCTATCTTTAGTGTAAAGATGGACAGTTCCAAGCGAGGATGTGATTGAAATACAGAGGTTGTATATGGGAAAAACTGCCACAAACCAATTGATACAGAAATATAGGCAGCTGAAATTCTTATGTTCAAATGTAGAGTTTTTTGAGTTTTTTTCATATAAAAAGTGCCTGGCCTTGCACCCTGTTCTATATACTTCAGACTAAACTAATTTTTTCTTTGCCCATTCCGCATCCTTCCCAGTTATACGTACCTTTCCTTTGCTCCCCTTCTGTGAACTTATCCTTTAAAATGGGAAACTAGCATTGTAATGTTTTCAGGAGCACATGTCTCTATTTCTCTTATGACAGGTCATTGCTGGGAGCCAAGGAGAATGTCCAGTACTTCTGGCTATGGAGGAGCATGTGACTTGCTCCTGTGATAACACTTCTAGCCAATTGGTGCTGTCACATGGGAGTCTATGGCCCTGTGTAAAAATAAATACATTTTTCTGTATAATATTTATTTATTCACACATAGGACTTGGCTGAATGGAGCAACAGGGGAATGAAAGGTACTGTAAATGCTCCTGGAAAGGGCTGCGTTAAAGTGGACCAGTTGCTTTGTTCTACAAACCTCCACTGTCATGTGCTACTCTCTTAAAAGTGATCCACTGCAGATCACTTTTCAGACACCATAATAAGTGTAAACTAAGCCTCAAAGCCACCTTCATCTCCAGTGTGGGAGCTTTAGGTGTTTTAAAGAATGCCTGTCATAAGAGAAATAGAGATGTGCGCTCCTGAAAACCTTTCTACAATGCTAGTTTCCCATTATTTTAAAGGATAAGTTCACCTTTTAACCAAAAATAAATGCACATTTTTTTTTTTTTTTTTTTGCAGTTAAAAAAAAATGTGCATTTTATATATTTTTTTGTTTGTGGAGCCTTTAAAGCATTTCACCAGCGATAAGCAGATCGCTGGTATCATCCAGGTCTCCCCGACCTGTCAATATATCTGCTTCCTCGTACATCAAGTACCAGCAAGCATATGTCTCTGACAGGAAGCCTCAGTGAACTACCATGGCGCAGTGTGCCATGGTAATTCATTGAAAACTACAAGACGACAGCCGCAAATGGCTGCTGGGACTTGTAGTTCTCTCATTCACAAAATACTGTAAATTAATGACTCGGGTGGAGCCACACACGGCCACGTTTTTTGTTTTTTTTTAACTCTGACAGCTACAGGGAGGAAATGATCCCCCACTAGATTTCACAGCAGGGGCTAGTCAGACTGTAACCTGTTACACCCTGAATATGGGTTTAACATGTTACGATAGGTGAACTTTATCTTTTTAAACCTCTGGGCTTGATGCTGTTCCACCCATCAACTTGAATTAAATTTGCAAACTAGGAAAATCTTTTGTAAATTCTAGGCACTTTTGATTACAAGTTGATAATTATAATCATTTTCCCGGTCATAATAAAATGCCAGTCACCACGCACAGGGGATTGATTTACTAAAATTGGAGAGTGCAAAATCAGATGCTGACTGGCAACCGTGCACAGCTGCACCAAACTTCAACTTGTTAAGCTTTTGACAAAACAACCTGGAAGCTGATTGGTTTCTATGCAGACCTGCACCAGATTTTGCACTCTCCAGTTTTAGTAAATCGACTCCATAATGTGATCAGACCCTTAATGAGCTCCTGTAGTCAAGACCTTAGCCTGTGCTTTTTGTTAAAATATTCCAGTAAGGCTGCCATTCGTAGTTATGAGCCAGTAGTGATGTGCAGGAGGGATTGAGGGGTTGCTCTGAGCTTTCTACAACAGTTGCTGGTTGAGAATACTATAATGGAGCATACTAGATTCCCAGGTTACCGATGGACTCTACAGTGTATGTGAACATACATGTAGTCGCCTCAGTGTGTCTGCTTTCAATATTTTCTGACTGAGTGCCACTATTAGGTGACCTCAGGATACTTTTTTAGGTTTTTGTGTACATTTTTTTTTTTTTTTCTTTTCTTAAAGGTGATCTGGTCGGCTTGTTCATTCATAGTCAAAGCAGTTCAACATACAGTATGCCATAGCCACCAATCAGACCAAGTAGGAGCTGTCTATTGAGCAAAAGTTTGGTTATGTGCTACTCCATGTTGCCCTTTAAACTGTTTTATTGGAATGAAAATATAATTTTATGTATATATTTATTAATATGGTTTATTTTGCTTTTAGTGATGAGCTCTTTTTTTCATTTTTTTTTTTTTTTTTTTGTCTTTTCAGCATCCTGCCATTTGAAGCCGTGGTCTGTATGTACCGGTTCCTCGGAGCAGACAAGTGCATGTACCCTTTCATTGCTCAGCGGAAACAAGCCACAAACAACAATGAAGCTAAAAATGGAATATAATTTCCCTTTAATTATTTAGTGTATTTTTTTTTTCGTCTCGTGATTAGACTGACTTTTATTGTTGAACAGTCAACACATTTTAAGACTGATTCAGAAAAGGCACTTGTGCAACAGATTTACATATGGGACTACTTCTTCCCCTTTTTTTTTTTTTTTTCCCCCGTACACTACGTCTCAACTTATACTTTAACACGTGGCTGGACTCTGAATTTATACGTGGTTCTTCAGCTTGTTTTACACACTGTAAATGTGGCAAGAGTTTTGAAAATGTGACCAACTAAAGACATACGATGAGCTTAAATGTAGCAATAAACCGTTTCTGTAGAGCTACTGTACAACCAGTTTTCTACAAATGCACTGTTACATTAGCTTGCTTTAAAGAAAACAGATGAATAATAAAACTGCAGATATAAAACCTAGATCAAATTCAGTTGTCTGTATAGCAATATGCTGCTTGACAGTATATAGACCTTTTTGTTTATTGTTTAACTTGTCAAAGTGTACCTGTAAAACACTGAGTTGGGTCTTTTATAGAAACTGAAGAAAAGAATTGCAGAGCAAAACCAGAGCATTTATCCAAAGCAACCAATCATGCCTCAGCTTTCATTTCCTTTAAGAAATGAAACGAGAAATGTGGTTGTTCTGGGCGTATGTTTGTAATTCCTTATCTGCTGAATTGAATTGCCATGCAGGAAAACTTGTCCTATTTAGCAGTCAGATTCTCCCATTCTGGTCTTAAAGAATAATGGAGTTGATTTACTAAGATTAGAGAGCGCAAAATCTGGTGCAGCTATGCATGGTAGCCAATCGGCTTCTAACTTCAGCTTGTTCAATTAGGCTTTGACAAAAACCTGGAAGCTGATTGGTTTTTATGCTGAACTGCACCAGATTTTGCACTCTCCAGTTTAATAAATCAACCCCAGTGTGGTTTCTGGCTCCTTTATAATAGTAAAGGACAAATCAGTAACTGTTCTTATGTCTGCTTCCGTCTTGTCATCACTGAGAAAATTATGTGTGAAGATGATCTAAAATCCACTACCTACAGCTAAAGGAGTCTGTATGTTTGAGATAGATATATTACACTGTGGGATAGTTTTTTGAATGGCCATGTACGTACCACACATATTTACATATTTACCAGCTAACCTGGTATATAAATCAGAAAAAAATGTAACTTCATGGTAATGATACCCACAAAACTTTAGCAGACATGATCTGCTATAACAAAATAATGTTGGGCCTTCAGGAGGGGTTTGCAATAAGGTGCCAGTGTGCTGCATTATGACAGACTTACATTGCAAGCAATCCCCTCCATTGCTTGCATTTCCATCTTTTCCCAGTCATCTTCTGAGTTCCTAGCTTTCATTCAGCCTCATGCTTGCCAGGGTGATAGTAACTTTCACAGGCATGCTCAGGAGTTCTATTTCTCGGCACAGAAACATGTCCAGACTTTGTACACCAAGTTGTGCATGAGCACTTCAGCGTAAAAACATGGAGAAGCAATTATAACACAAGAGATTTACAGAGTTCAGTGGTTTAAAAAAAAAAAAAAGTCTGTTTTTAACAGTGTATTGAGTATTGTATGTTGAATTGTAATCATTCGGGCATTTCATACATGTTAAGTATGTAAGCTTTGGGCACACAGTAAGCCCCAGTGCACACTATAGCTTGCATATGAATTGTACAGTAACTGCACCACATTTCTGTGCAATTCATATGCATTTATGTGTGGAATGAATGAGCCCATTCATTTTGAATGGGCTCAAATCGCAATCGCACCGAAGACGTGCAGGCACTTTTTTTTTTTTTTTTTTTTTTTTTCTTCCTGAGCCACACTGCAACCGCATCACATGGTCATTTTGTACCATGCAATCCAATGCAGGCAATGTGTTTTGGGGTATCATTAACTGTATTGACACCATTGCAATGCGTTGTGGGAAATGTGCAGGGATTGCTGATTTTCCCACACTGCATATGTGTGAACCTAGGCTTAAGGACAGTGGACAAGACTGTCTGTCTGCTAATTTTATTTTATTTATTTTTTTAATAATTGTATTACTTTTTTTTTTTTTTTTTTTTTTAACATAATGACACAATTATAAGAATGTGGTTTTTGTTGTTTTCCTGTAGCAATAACTTTTATTCATACTTTCATTTTCAACCTCAACTAGAAAAGTAATTACTGGCATCTACTTGCTAGGGGCACTATGCTTTAATGTCAGAGACATTTATGCCCATGGTTCAGTGGTGTGCTGTAACCAATGGCAGCCAGTCTAAACCTTTTTTTTTTTTTTTTCCTTTCTTTGCTGTTCTATTTGAAAGTTGAGCTGTGATTGGTTGCTTTAGGTTTTTGCTCTGTAGTGTTGCTGTATTATTAAAGTGGACCTAGGATCATATTTTTTTTTTTTTTTATGATAAATCCATGCATGTTAAGTAAAATGGTAATATGTTTGTACGACGTGTAGGTATTTATAATCGCTCACTGAATATTCCCCCTAACAATGTGTTTATCTGCTTGGAGAGGACACAATCATCTTAATCCTGGTGCCTGTACAGTTCTTTGTGTGATCACAAATGTGTGACACAGATCAGTCCCTGCTGCAGCCTTTCACCTAGTGACTTACTACAATGTTCGTGCTCATGGGTTTGCTGCATTTGATATGTTTTTGAAATGCACGACAGACTACACATTCCCTGAATATTTTGGTATTGATGACCATTCCGAGACTGCTTTGTGTTGGGTGTCTTTGGATGCAGAAGGTCTTTTTGAGATGCGTTTTTGCATTGCAATCAAAGCAGTACCAACACAACCTATTGCTGCGGTTTGCAATCAAACACATGCTTTGAGAAGCATTATGTTCAAATGCAGAAGGCAGCTTTTAGGCTAAGTTCACATTTGCAAAAAAAATAAATAAATAAAACAATCTAATGCTGAAAATAAAATGAACCAATGCGCCTATAGTGTTATCACACATTTTTAATGCGGTTTTAAGGTGCATTTTAAAAATATACTCCAGGCACCCTCCAAGTGACAATTTTTTTTTTTTTTTTTTTTTTTTTTTCCCACCTCACTGATATTTGATAAACACTTGTCCAGCACGTTTACTGTGCATTACCTTAGACTTGATTGGAAGGAGTCGAACAGATTCAGCTCCTCCCAGACTGGTAGCTTCATTTTTGCCAGGAAGCGTACATTTTTAAAAATGTGAACAGCTCTGTCTGCTGTCCATGTTATCCATCATAGGCTACTTTTGCTAGGCATTTAGGGAGCTGCAAATATGCTCCCCAAACACCTGTTTCTGATGCAAGTGTGAACAGGGCCTTAACTGCAATACCTGTCTACAAGCCCTTAGAGTAATGCAGTCTAATCACTGTGGTAGATGAGACTGCGGAAATGCTTCCTCCCACCTGCAGCAAAGTAATCTAACCAGAGCTTAGGGACTACTGTTTAATGGTAAAGGAATAGGAATTTTGAAAAATTATACTTCCTGTATATTGGAACATGTACAGGAATGTATTCCTACAGACTGCTAACATTACCAAAAGGTCCACTTTAATAAAGCTAAGTTTGTTCATGAGGACTTTTGGCTGTTTCTTAGGAAGGGCTCCAGTGATTGTCCCTGATTACCAGTAAGTCCATAGGCTTTTAGTCTGCTTATGTCCAATCCAAAATAGCTGCTGTCATGGTTACCATGCCTCAGTAAAGGTGACAGAACTTGCACAAAATGAATGGAATAGTAATGTACCACTTGATGCTATAGAAAACTTTGCATAATCTGTTTTGCAGACGGACATCAGCTTCTTCTCCCTGTACTTGTACATGTGAAATATGTAGAGTTGTAAAGATTTTTTTGTGAGTGTGCTGCAAAATAAAACTACTTTTTTATGTTTCTTTTGTATAGAAAACATTTTACAGTTGTGCCTTGAATGAAGTAAAAATATAGTTAGAAAACATTGTATAGCGACTTTCTACCTCTGTATCTATATTCAATTTTTCTTGTAAATTACTATCAGACTTCTGTGATTTTACATTTTTTATTATCATTTGGACGTCTTAAATATTGACCAGTGTCTGGTTTTATTAAAGCAAACTACCTTACTGAAGAAAGTGGTTTGTCAGCCAAGCTTTGGGTATGCCTGTGGATTGGTAGCATGTGTGCCTGTCTGTATAATTGTGATGATTGAGATGTAATGAGCTGCATGCAGACTCTTCCTCTCGCTGTTGCCTTGACTGGTTGAGATGGACATGTGGGCAGATGTCGCTCTCTCCACCTCAGCTAATTACCTGTTAGTGAATGGAATAGTTCATTTGGGCCAGCTTGGTCCAAAAAATGATTTAAAGTAGAATTATAGAAAACTTTTTTTTTTTTCTCCATTCTTGGATAGAATAAGGGAGGGTTATAACCCCTGTGAGTTGTTTGGGGGGGGGGGGGGGACCCTTTGAATTGTTTTGTTATTTTATGGATATTTTTAACAACGAGAACGTTTTACGTAAAGAAAAGCCATGAAGTTATGAGTAACCAAATGGCACAGAAAAAAAATACAAATTAGCATATTACCATAGCCACATAGGGCTTCCATTCAATGCATGCAAAAGAATCAGAAATCGTGAGTGTAAAAACAGGCACTAATATGAGGTCAAGTATTAAGCCAACTAATCCATGCTTTCCACATAGTCCAAATTCGGGCTGTGTGCCAGACATAATGACAGGGAATGTTCATGTTTGTGAGTTATTCTAAAGGCAATAACATCAGGTTAGGAGTTAGGTCTTCCCTCCCAGTGTCTTGCTATACCAGACAAGGGTGCTAGAAGAATATGTGCGGCTACTACTCTGTATGCTGGATGGAACTTTCCAATACAAAGATCAAGGCTGGATTAAGTAGAGTCAAGATATCATTAACCATGGATATAAGGTGGAATACTTGGTTCCAAAAACGTGTAATATTTTTGGAAGGCCAGAATGTGATATGCCACAATTTTGCCAGCACAGAGGATTGGG